AGAATCAAGTGTGCTTTGTCCCTTTTGGACTTTGAGGAGTACTGTGTGGATGAGGGGTGTGGGAGGAAAGGCATAAAGGAGCCTGCCCCCCATGGCAGATGGAAGGCATCTGAGAGGTAGCCTGGCTGTGCCCCAGATACGAGCAGAACTGGGGGAAATTTCCTGTTGCTTCTGGTTGCAAACAGGTCCCGCTGGGGAAACCCCCACTTCTGGAAAATAGCCTCCAGGATGTCCGGCCAGAGAGACCACTTGTGATGACTGGTGAAGGATCTACTCGGGTAGTCTGCTAGCCCGTTCTGTGAGCCCAGAAGATAAGCGGCCTCCAGGTGAATGGAGTGGGCTATGCAGTAGTCCCAGAGCTTCAACACCTCATGGCACAGGGGAGAGGATCAGGCTCCCCTTGCTTGTTTATATAGAACATTGCTATGGTCGTCAGGGAGAACTGACACACATCTGCCTTGGCACTTGAGGCAGAATGCTTGGCAGGCAAAGAACCCTGCCCTCAGTTCCCTGACATTGATATAAAGGTGTAACTCCTCTGGTGTCCAGAGACTGTGCGTCCTGAGAAGCCCCAGGTGGGCTCCCCGCCCCATATCTGAGGAGTCTGTGACTAGGTCTACCGAAGGTGCAGGTCTTGCAAAGGGAATGCCGGCACACACTATGCCTTTATCCACCCACCACTGAAGGGCTTTGAGAGTTGTTGGAGGAAGAGTAACTACTCTGTCTAGCGGGTGATGATCTGGTATGTATACCGATGCCAACCATGGTTTGAGAGCATGGAGTCTGAGACATGCATGCTGCACAACGTACGTGCTAGAGGCCATATGCCCCAGGAGCTTTAGGCAGTTCCTTGCTGTAGTGGTGGGGTATGCTTTCAGGCTTTATATAAGAGCTGAGATGGCCCTGAAGTGGCTCTCCGGTAGGGAGTCCCTTGCCCAATTCGCATCAAGAACCACTCCTGTGAATTCTATCCTCTGGACGGGCGTGAAGGTGGACTTCTGTTCATTGATCAGGAGACCCAGGCTCTTGAAAGTGAACAGTATGAAGACCAGTGTTATTGCACTAGTACCTTGGACTGACCTCTTACCAGCCAGTCGTCCAAGTAAGGATAGACCTGCACCCATCTGCTCCTGAGGAAGACTGCCACTACTAATAGGCCGAAGTGTAGAACCATGAACTGATAACTTTGGTTTGTGGTAAACGCAAACCACGATCTTCTGTGGCCTCAGAGGATAGCTATATGGAAGTAAGTGTCTTTTAGATCAAGAGCGGCATACTAATCTCCTGGATCTAGGGAAGGAATAATCGAGGCAGGAAATATCATGAGAAACTTCAACATCTTTAAGAACTTGCTGAGGTTTCTGATGTCTAGGATAGGCCTGAGATCCGCATTGGAGGTTGGGATCAGGAAGTAGCGGGAGTAAAACCCCTTCCCTCTTCGCTCCATAGGAATCTTCTCCACTGCCCCTGCCTTTAGGAGTGTGATTGCATCTCCTGACTCAGGAGATTTTTATGAGAAGGGTCCCTGAAGAGGGACAGGGAAAGGGGGGGAAATGAGAGGAGGAAATAAATTGCATTGTGTATCCCACTTCTACTGTGCAGAGCACCCATTGGTCAGATGTGATGTTGCCCCATGCCCAGTAAAAATAGGATAAATGGTCCACAAACATAGGGGTAAGATCCAGGTTCTTGACTTGTACACACCCTCAGGCACACCCTCAAAAGTTTTGCTTATTGCCTGACAGTTGTTTCGCGGGTGCAGATGTTGAGGCTGCAAAGGAGTGAGGCGCCTGTCTTTTCCTGAAACCCCAATTTCTCCTCTGCCCAAAGTCTTGCCTCTGATGAGACTGGTAAAAACGGCCCATGGGCTGCAATTTATAATGTTTCCAAGATGGGGCCAGAGTGTGGAGGCTCAACAATTTCAAGGTTGCCCTTGATTTTTTCAACTATGCAGCCAGGCATCTGTTTGTTCAGAAAATAAGGACTGTCCTTCAAACAGGGGATCCTGGACTGTCTGCTGGACTTCATAGGGGAGGCCCAATGACTGAAGTCAAGAACTTCTTTTCATTACAACTCCAGTGACCATCGCCTGGGCTGCTTCATCTGCAGCGTTTAGGGCTGCTTGGAGGGATGCCTTGGCTATGGCTCTACCCTCTTCTGCCATGGCCGCAAACTCTGCCCTAGAGTTAGATGGCAGGAGCGCTTTGAATTTCTGGACTGCTGACCAGGAATTAAAATCATAGTGACTAAATAGAGCCTGGTGATTCACAATCCTTAGCTGGATGCCCCCTATGGAGTAAATTTTCCTCCCAAGGAGGTCCAGCTTTTTGGCCTTTTTAACTTTCAGTGATGGACCCTGTTGCTCTTGCCTCTCCTTCTCAGGGGCAGGAACAACCAAGAAGCAAAATGGAGGATAAGTGAACAGATATTCATAACCCTTATGGGGAGGGAGAAATACTTCCTCTCCACCCATTTGGCTGTAGGCTGAAGAGAGGCTGGGGTGGGCCACAATGCCCTTATGGGCTGTAGGATGGCCTCTTTCATGGGCAGTGCAACTCTTGCTGGCCCTGAAGAAGTCAAAATGTCTACCAAAGCCAGAACGGTGGCCAGCATCTAGGCGAGGTGTGGAGCTGCTGCTGCGAGTGTGACCTCAGTTCCGAGTTTTCTGACAATGAGAGGGATGGGAGGCAGTGCCTTGCCATCTTTGTCGGCTTGCTCAGGACTGGTGCTTGCTCTCTTATGGCTGGGCCCTGCAGTGCCAGACTTGTTCCTTGCAGGCCTTGGTTCAGATAACGTGGTGCCAGGAGGGTTAGGAGGTTCCGCAACACCTTGCATGCCTCTGATGTTGATGGTACTGCCAGGTCATGTCCCCTTCTTGGCTCACCCTGTGTGGAGAGTGCCTTGATACCGGACTTGATGGTTACCCTCCCGAGGCCAGAGTCAATGGAGCCGGTTGAGTTGCACCTGATTGAGAGTGGTCCACCATGGATCACACTCTCTCCATAGTCTTTCTTGAGGGGGAACGCCCTTATTCAGACTTCTTTGTTCACTTCTTCAGCACTGGTGATGGGGAACAGTTCTGTGTCATCGACACTGACTTCTTGGGCATCAGAGAAGCATGCTGATGTCGAGAGGAGGCCGGCGCCGGGAAGCCCAGACTATGCTGGGTGTCCCAAATGGATGCTGGCGCACTCCTGGTAGAGGAAGCGCTCAGTGCCAGGTCAGGTTGCTGCTCTGAGGTGCGACAGAGTGCCATCTCCATAAGTAGGAATTTCAGTCTATTGTCTCACTCTTTTTTGGTTCTTGGTTTGAAGTTCCTACAGATCCAGCACTTATCTTTAGATAAGACCCTCTCACAGGCACTTCCAACAGCTCTTATGAGCGTCACTAAGTGGCATGTTCTTGCCAGCATTCTGCACACTGCATGCCCTGGGGCCCAGGCAGGAGAGCCCCACAGGGCAGGTGCTTATCAGAAAACTAACTATTTACACTTATCTATAATCTATTTACAGGAAGAAGACCACAATGGGGATCCCTTGTTGAGCAAGAGGTAAGAGCATTCCAGCAACCACCACAGACAGAAAGAAAGAACTAAAGGCGGCAGGTCAGCAGGTGCCTATATACTGTGCTATGAAGGCGCCACTCCAGGGGGCACCAGAGTCGACCCAACAGACACCACAAAGGGAAAAAAGTCTTCTGGCGATGGTGCATGCTTTGCACGCACATCTATACTGGAATGGACAAGAGGAAGCACTTGAAGAACTGTATCTAAACAGGTTTCAGAGTAACAGCCGTGTTAGTCTGTATTCGCAAAAAGAAAAGGAGTACTTGTGGCACCTTAGAGACTAACCAATTTATTTGAGCATAAGCTCATAAGCTTATGCTCAAATAAATTGGTTAGTCTCTAAGGTGCCACAAGTACTCCTTTTCTTTTTGTATCTAAACAGAGTCCAAGCTGGGTGGGTGAAAGGACACATGGGTTCACACTGCTGCAGTTCTGCTGTTCTAAATCTTTGCAATTCTTCAAACTTGGAAGCCCATTCTGATTAATAATTGAAGTAGGATACAGTTGAATAGTGGGTAGACAACAAGGGGAACAGTTTACACTAAAGCTGATCAGAAAACTAGATTTTTTAAAGTCCATTTTTGTTGAAATTTTGTTTTGTTAGAAACTATTAGAAAAAACTGTTAGAAAAGCTATTCCTTTCTGCTATCTGGGTAAAGGAAGTGGGAATCTCAGCCTCTCAGCTGCAGCTCCCAAGATAGGTACACATCACATTCCCAGACAAACTCTCTCACATAGAGGATGCTACTCAACAGGGTACTTTAATACAGAACCATCACCTTCAAATTCTGGATTACAGTGACAGTTAAAAGGTGTCATGTTCACAGACAGACATTTCAAATAGCTCAATTCAATTCAGAAGCCATGAAATTAATACAATTTAAAACTGACTCCAAACATGACATTTTTACTAAATTCACTTAATTTTAATCTGTTTCTTTGACATGAATCTTCACTCTCATTCTCCCCCCACTAAACACACCCTGTTTGATATAGCATTTCTGCTTCTAAGTAATGTTGCACAAAGTTGTTTTATGTTTAAAAAAAAAGTAGACTGCCAGATTTTTAAAAAGTGCCCTGAAGTGTTTTTCCTGCTATTGTGTTCGCACAGGGCTGGGTAAAGCAGTAAAGGACCCTTTTCTAGGTGCTGGGAAACTGTGGCAGCTTGGAATCTGTAAACCTTCTGACATCTAATGTCTGACTTTATTTTATGCTCAAATAAACTGGTTAGTCTCTAAGGTGCCACAAGTACTCCTTTTCTTTTTGACTTTTTTTAAACTTTCTCAGTGGGGGTGTTACAAATTTGACATAATGAGCTCAAGATCCCTGTGGTGATATCATTGGAAATTGGTCATTCTGCTTTTGTAATGTCTGTATGTCTCATACTATACTCTGTACTTTAAACCACTTTTGTTTATTGTATATTCAGCTTATGTCTAGGGGAATCCTGTGATGCTGTGCAATATTTTGGGGTGTAGCACCAATCTTTTAACATTGGAAGCACAACCAACAGTTTTCCACAGAAAGAACTTTGGTCAAGCTTCCCTTGCTGGAAGAAGAGCTGTGTTCACCAAGATTGATATAACCTGACCCTTTTCTGAATAATATTACTCCTGACAGAATTCAACTCAATTCAGCCCAGGCAGTGCATTTGTTTCAGCGTGCCTGGAGCAGCTTCAGCCCTGGTCTACACTAGGACTTTAGGTCGAATTTAGCAGCGTTAAATCGATTTAAACCTGCACCCGTCCACACAATGAAGCCCTTTATTTCGACTTAAAGGGCTCTTAAAATCGATTTCCTTACTCCACCCCTGACAAGTGGATTAGCGCTTAAATCGACGTTGCCGGCTCGAATTTGGGGTACTGTGGACACAATTCGATGGTATTGGCCTCCGGGAGCTATCCCAGAGTGCTCCATTCTGACCGCTCTGGACAGTCCTCTCAACTCAGATGCACTGGCCAGGTAGACAGGAAAAGAACCGCGAACTTTTGAATCTCATTTCCTGTTTGGCCAGCGTGGCAAGCTGCAGGTGACCATGCAGAGCTCATCAGCACAGGTGACCATGATGGAGTCCCAGAATCGCAAAAGAGCTCCAGCATGGACTGAACGGGAGGTACGGGATCTGATCGCTGTTTGGGGAGAGGAATCCGTGCTATCAGAACTCCGTTCCAGTTTTCGAAATGCCAAAACCTTTGTGAAAATCTCCCAGGGCATGAAGGACAGAGGCCATAACAGGGACCCGAAGCAGTGCCGCGTGAAACTGAAGGAGCTGAGGCAAGCCTACCAGAAAACCAGAGAGGCGAACAGCCGCTCTGGGTCAGAGCCCCAAACATGCCACTTCTATGATGAGCTGCATGCCATTTTAGGGGGTTCAGCCACCACTACCCCCGCCGTGTTGTTTGACTCCTTCAATGGAGATGGAGGCAATACGGAAGTAGGTTTTGGGGACGAAGAAGATGATGATGAGGAGGAGGTTGTAGATCGCTCACAGCAAGCAAGTGGAGAAACCGGTTTTCCCGACAGCCAGGAACTGTTTCTCACCCTGGACCTGGAGCCAGTACCCCCCGAACCCACCCAAGGCTGCCTCCTGGACCCAGCAGGCGGAGAAGGGACCTCTGGTGAGTGTACCTTTTAAAATGCTATACATGGTTTAAAAGCAAGCATGTGAAAGGATTACTTTGCCCTGGCATTTGCGGTTCTCCTAGATGTAGTCCTAAAGCCTTTGCAAAAGGTTTCTGGGGAGGGCAGCCTTATTTCGTCCTTCATGGTAGGACACTTTACCACTCCAGGCCAGTAACACGTACTCGGGAATCACTGTAGAACAAAGCATTGCAGTGTATGTTTGCTGGCATTCAACCAAAATCTGTTCTTTATCTCTCTGTGTTATCCTCAGGAGAGTGAGATATAATTCATGGTCACCTGGTTGAAATAGAGTGCTTTTCTTCAGGGGACACTCAGAGGAGCCCATTCCTGCTGGGCTGTTTGCCTGTGGCTAAACAGAAATGTTCCCCGCTGTTAGCCACAGGGAGGGGAGAAGGTTGAGGGGGTAGTCACGCGGTGGGAGGAGGCAAAATGCGACCTTGTAACGAAAGCACATGTGCTATGTATGTAATGTTAACAGCAAGGTTTACCCTGAAAGAGTGTAGCGACTGTTTTATAAAATGTGTCTTTTTAAATACCGCTGTCCCTTTTTTTTTCTCCACCAGCTGCATGTGTTTCAATGATCACAGGATCTTCTCCTTCCCAGAGGCTAGTGAAGATTAGAAAGAAAAAAAAAATACGCACTCGCGATGAAATGTTCTCCGAGCTCATGCTGTCCTCCCACACTGACAGAGCACAGACGAATGCGTGGAGGCAAATAATGTCAGAGTGCAGGAAAGCACAAAATGACCGGGAGGAGAGGTGGAGGGCTGAAGAGAGTAAGTGGCGGGCTGAAGCTCAAATGTGGCGGCAGCGTGATGAGAGGAGGCAGGATTCAATGCTGAGGCTGCTGCAGGACCAAACCAGTATGCTCCAGTGTATGGTTGAGCTGCAGCAAAGGCAGCTGGAGCACAGACTGCCACTGCTGCCCCTCTGTAACCAACCGCCCTCCTCCCCAAGTTCCATAGTCTCCACACCCAGACGCCCAAGAACGCGGTGGGGGGGCCTCCGGCCAACCAGCCACTCCACCACAGAGGATTGCCCAAAAAAAAGAAGGCTGTCATTCAATAAATTTTAAAGTTGTAAACTTTTAAAGTGCTGTGCTTAAAGTGCTGTGTGGCATTTTCCTTCCCTCCTCCACCACCCCTCCTGGGATACCTTGGTAGTCATCCCCCTATTTGTGTGATGAATGAATAACGAATGCATGACTGTGAAGCAGCAATGACTTTATTGGCTCTGCAAGCAATGATTAAAGGGAGGAGGGGCGGGTGGTTAGCTTACAGGGAAGTAGAGTGAACCAAGGGGCGGGGGGTTTCATCAAGGAGAAACAAACAGAACTTTCACACCGTAGCCTGGCCAGTCATGAAACTGGTTTTCAAAGCTTCTCTGATGCGTACCGCGCCCTCCTGTGCTCTTCTAACCGCCCTGGTGTCTGGCTGCGCGTAACCAGCAGCTAGGCGATTTGCCTCAACCTCCCACCCCGCCATAAACGTCTCCCCCTTACTCTCACAGATATTGTGGAGCACACAGCAAGCTGTAATAACAGTGGGAATATTGGTTTCGCTGAGGTCTAAGCGAGTCAGTAAACTGCGCCAGCGCGCCTTTAAACGTCCAAATGCACATTCTACCACCATTCTGCACTTGCTCAGCCTGTAGTTGAACAGCTCCTGACTACTGTCCAGGCTGCCTGTGTACGGCTTCATGAGCCATGGCATTAAGGGGTAGGCTGGGTCCCCAAGGATACATATAGGCATTTCAACATCCCCAACAGTTATTTTCTGGTCTGGGAATAAAGTCCCTTCCTGCAGCTTTTGAAACAGACCAGAGTTCCTGAAGATGCGAGCATCATGCACCTTTCCCGGCCATCCCACGTTGATGTTGGTGAAACGTCCCTTGTGATCCACCAGAGCTTGCAGCAGTATCGAAAAGTACCCCTTGCGGTTTATGTACTCGGCGGCTTGGTGCTCCGGTGCCAAGATAGGGATATGGGTTCCGTCTATAGCCCCACCACAGTTAGGGAATCCCATTGCAGCAAAGCCATCCACTATGACCTGCACATTTCCCAGGGTCACTACCCTTGATATCAGCAGATCTTTGATTGCGTGGGCTACTTGCATCACAGCAGCCCCCACAGTAGATTTGCCCACTCCAAATTGATTCCCAACCGACCGGTAGCTGTCTGGCGTTGCAAGCTTCCACAGGGCTATCGCCACTCGCTTCTCAACTGTGAGGGCTGCTCTCATCTTGGTATTCATGCGCTTCAGGGCAGGGGAAAGCAAGTCACAAAGTTCCATGAAAGTGCCCTTACGCATGCGAAAGTTTCGCAGCCACTGGGAATCGTCCCAGACCTGCAACACTATGCGGTCCCACCAGTCTGTGCTTGTTTCCCGAGCCCAGAATCGGCGTTCCACAGCATGAACCTGCCCCATTAGCACCATGATGCATGCATTGTCAGGGCCCATGCTTTCAGAGAAATCTGTGTCCATGTCCTGATCACTCACGGGACCGCGCTGACGTCGCCTCCTCGCCCGGTATCGCGTTGCCATGTTCTGGTGCCGCATATACTGCTGGATAATGCGTGTGGTGGTTAATGTGCTCCTAATTGCCAAAGTGAGCTGAGCGTCCTCCATGCTTGCCTTGGTATGGCGTCCGCACAGAAAAAAGGCGCGGAACGATTGTCTGCCGTTGCTCTGACGGAGGGAGGGGCGACTGACGACACGGCTTACAGGGTTGGCTTCAGAGAGCTAAAATCAACAAAGGGTGTGCCTGTACATCAAGGAGTATTTCAGGCAGGACTGCATGGAGGGTTCCAATAAGAAATGGTGCACCTAAGTTATCGTTGTTATTGGAACAAGGAGGTTAGCCTGGCCTCTGATTGATACATGGCTAGATTTACCTCGCTGCACCTTCTCTGTGAGTGACTGCAGTGTGATCTAGACAGGGGAGGAGGCAAATGAGTACAAAACAAATCTGGTCTATTTCTTGTTCTGACCCACTCCATCTATCTTTTACATCTTTGGCTGGCAGCAGATGGTGCAGAAGGACTGCATGCCATCCACATCTCATGGCTGCTCGGCAGAAGATGGTACAATACAACTGCTAGCAATCCTCATCTCTTGCCTGCCTGGCAGAAGATGGTACAGTACGACTGCTAGCAGTCCGTATCGCCTGCCCGCTCACCATAAGACTGTTCAATAGGACTGACTGCAGGACTAAAGAGAATGACCTGGTCAAGTCACTCCAAATTTAGTCCCTGCGCCCATGTCTGCCCCGGCGCTCCCAGCCGACGTGGCCAGGAGCACCTCGGACACGACGAGGACGACTACCAGTCGTATTGCACCGTCTGCTGCCAGAAGGCAATGGGTTGCTGCTACTGTGCAGCAATGCCGTACCGCGTCTGCCAGCACCCAGGAGACATAGGGTGACGGTTACCTGAGCTGGCTCCATGCTTGCTGTGGTATGGCGTCTGCACAGGTAACTCAGGAAAAAAGGCGCGAAATGATTGTCTGCCCTTGCTTTCACGGAGGGAGGGAGGGAACGGGGGCCTGACAACACGTACCCAGAACCACCCGCGACAATGTTTTAGCCCCATCAGAGTGCTCCATTGTGACTGCTCTGGACAGCACTCTCAGATGCCCGATTGTTTGCCATTGCTCTGATGCTGGGAGGGGCGCTTACAGGGTTGGCTTCAGGGAGCTAAAATCAACAAAGGGGGTGGCTTTACATCAAGGAGTATTTCAGGCAGGACTTCACGGAGGGTTCCAATAAGAAATGGTGCACCTAAGTTATTGTCCTTATTGGAACAAGAAGGTTAGCCTGGCCTCTGATTGATACATGGCTAGATTTACCTCGCTGCACCTTCTCTGTAAGTGACTGCAGTGTGATCTAGAAGAATGAGTCCCCTAGACAGGGGAGGGGGGGAAGCAAGTGAGTACAAAACAAATCTGGTCTATTTCTTGTTTTGATCCACTCCATCTATCTTTTACATCTTTGGCTGGCAGCAGACGGTGCAGAAGGACTGCATGCCATCCACATCTCATGGCTGCTCGGCAGAAGATGTACAGTACGACTGCTAGCAGTCCGTATCGCCTGCCCGCTCACCATAAGACGGTTCAATAGGACTGACTGCAGGACTAAAGAGAATGACCTGGTCAAGTCACTCCAAATTTAGTCCCTGCGCCCATGTCTGCCCAGGCGCTCCTGATCGACCTCACAGAGGCGACCAGGAGCACCTCAGACATGACGATGACGGCTACCAGTCGTACTGTACCGTCTGCTGCCACAAGGCAAGGGGTTGCTGCTACTGTGTAGCAATGCCGTACCGCGTCTGCCAGCACCCAGGAGACATAGGGTGACGGTTACCTGAGCGGGCTCCATGCTTGCCATGGTATGGCGTCTGCACAGGTAACTCAGGAAAAAAGGCGCGAAATGATTGTCTGCCCTTGCTTTCACGGGGGGAGGGAGGGAACGGGGGGCTGACGATATGTACCCAGAACCACCCGCGACAATGTTTTAGCCCCATCAGGCATTGGGATCTCAACCCAGAATTCCAATGGGCAGCGGAGACTGCGGGAACTGTGGGATAGCTACCCACAGTGCAGTCGACGCTTGCCTCGGTACTGTGGAAGCGCTCCGCCGAGTTAATGCACTTAATGCACTTAGAGCATTTTCTGTGGGGACACACACACTCGAATATATAAAACTGATTTCTAAAAAACCGACTTCTATAAATTCGACCTAATTTCGTAGTGTAGACATACCCTCAGAGATGCAAATCACTCCAGGAGAAGGGGAGCTGGGCATGCGTGCCTGAGTGGGAGATATTGATCACTGCCAGGGGGCACGGCTGGCCGACACTCAAGAGAGACTCTGTCCCTCTCTCTTGATACTGCAGCTTGAGGAGTGTGGAGGAGGGTACGTCTTTTTGTTATGCAGAAGGAAGGCTCTGTCCCCAAGGCAGAAATGTGGCAGCCTGCCTGCCTAGTAAAATGCAACTTCTTGAGAATTGAAAAAGCACTTAATTAAATATTAGTATCATGTTACTGAAAATTGTTTGTTTTTAAGTTAAAGAAAATAACTTTTGTAAAAAAACAAACACATTTTGTTATTGTTGCTGTTGATAGTTAATTGATCTCATTCTCTGAGGCAGAAATATAGCAACCTGTCTGCAGAATAACATTGAGAATGGGAACAGTTAACTAACAATTGAATAATTAACAGTCAATTCCCTCAGGAGCATAAAAACCTGTAAAAGTTTTAAGGCCCTTACATTGCCAGAGTGATGTAAAGCCTTATAAATGACAGTAAGGGAATCAGCTAGGAAGATCTATGCGCTGTGTCACTTTTTTCCCTGTGCCAAAGTGGCACAATGGGGTTAGATTTTTACTTACCCATTTAAAAAAAAAAAAAAAGAGGGCAAATAAAACATTTACCAAGCAGTCAATAAAATGTCAGTACAATCAGAACCAAGCACTTCCCAAAGTCCACAGCTAGGTCCAGGACAATGATTAGCAAAACTGTATGACTTTCATGTGTGACAGTTTGAGCAATTTAAAATGACATTCTACCCCACCCCCCCGTTTGGTGTTCTGTAATGTAATTCAAATGAAAATCCAGGATTATAACTGGAATGCAGGGTATTAGTTACCAAGTATTTGTAACTTAGCTTTCACATGTTTAGGAAATGCTGAATAGTTATTGTGACTTTTTTTCTGTATTGTAGTTTAAATCACTTACCAAAACAATTGAAACTGTTGTGATTATATTGCATTATTTTGACAAATAAAATCTGCAGAATTTTGCAGAATTTTAAATGTTTGGTGCAGAATCCCCCCAGGAGTAGAACAAGGATAATTTCTGTTGTCGTCTTGATTAGTTCTAAGAGAGCAGCTCATTCCTTCAAAGAAAGAAAAATGTTTTATTCCAGGTGGCAATCCTCACCAGGAGGAAATAAATATTTCTTCTGGATCAACTTTTAGATCTTGCACTTCCTTATTTTTCCTGTCCATATACCTGAGCTTAAGGTTTAAAGGCCTGATACAAAGCCCATTAAAATCAAAGGAAAGACATCCATTTACTTCAATGGACTCTAAATCAGGCCCTGAATTAGCACCAGCTCTGCAGCTTCCATTGGCCAGGAACTGCAGCCAATGGGAGCTGTGGGGGCAGCGCCTGTAGGCAAGGGCAATGCACGGAGCCTCTCTGGCCACCCTTGCACCTAGGGGCTGCAGGGACATACCAGTCACTCCCGGAGCCTGCACCCCGACCCTCTGCCCCCCTCACACCCAAACCCCACACCCTCTCCTGCACTCCAAACCCCTCAACCCCAGCCAGGAGCCCCCTCCTGCACTCCAAACTCCTCATCCCCAGCCCCACACCAGAACCCACACCCTCAGCCGGAGCTGTCATCCCCTCACACCCCCAACCCCAGTCCTGAGCCCCCTTCCTCACCCCAAACCCCTTATCAGGCTTGATGGGGCCGTGGCTGGGATGATTTAGTTGGGGATTGGTCCTGCTTTGAGCAGGGGGTTGGACTAGATGACCTCCTGAGGTCCCTTCCAACCCTGATATTCTATGATTCTATGATTCTATGATCCCTGGCCCCACCCCAGAGCCTGCACCCCTAGCCAGAGCCCTCACACTCTCCTGCACCCCAATCCCCTGCCCAGTGAAAATGAATGAGTGAGTGATTGTGGGGGAGAGCAAGCAATGGAGGGGGGGGTGGAGTGAGCGAGGGGCAGGGCCTTGGAGAAGGGCAGGGTGGGGGGTGCACCAAGGGTGTTTGGTTTTCTGCAGTCAGAAAGTTGGCAATCCTACTTACATACATGCTTAACTTTCCTCTGTTTATTTCAATGGAATGACTCATGGTAGTAAACTTAAGCATACACATAAGTGTTTGAAGTGTCAGGGCCTGAATTTCCATCATCAATAAAGCAGACTGAAAATCAGAATTTCTGTCCCATAGGAAATTCTGATATTTTGACTTTTTTCATTCCAAATATCAAAATTTTCCATGAAACAAAGTTCCAAAAAATTTTGGATTCAGAAATGTTTTGTTTTGACATTTTCAATCAACACAACATTTCAACATTCTGGAAATTAAATTTTATTTTAATTTTTGAACTCAACTGAAATGTTTCATTTTGAGCCAGTTCCATATCAAACTGTATTTTCCCTATTGTGCCACACTAGCTCATGGGAGTTGTAGTTCTGGATGCATCAATCCTCATTATCTCATATAGCTGGGCTCCCTGACCAAACTACATCTCATATGAGGACTATAGTTACATGACTATGACTTCCATAATGCACTATGCAGGTCAGACAGGGGAGACTGCATGATGCATCATGGGAGATGTAGCCTGGCCAGGAAAACAAAATGTTGTGTCAATTTTCTGTTGCAGCAATCAAAATTTTTTGACAAAAATCAAAATTTTCACACGGTAAGATCTGGGTCTTAATGTGGACATAGGGTAGCAACTATTTATACAAACAGACGTATACACTAACACTAGGATGGCCTTTGTGGCATGATTACTAATGTTAAAAGTTGCCATTGCTAGAGTCAGCAAGATTTAGAGCACAGTATCTTTGTGTAGTTTTCTAGCATACTGAATTTTTCATATCACTCCAATCAATGAACATAGTGTTCTCAGCATTGTGTTCAAGTGTTCTCATGGTGGGGGGTCTACTTCTTGAGAAAGAATCGGGGTAGCATTATTTCTTCATCAATGAAGGAAAAAACAACTGTGGCAAACAGTGAAACTGAAGGACACACATTAGGTCATTACAGGTCTCATTCTCCTCCCCTAAACTGGTACATGCAAGCTGCTCTTTAAGAGTTTGGTCAGCATGGAATCATGTTTTATTCAGGATCATTCTGTTAAATCTTGGCAATAATGAATATGAATACAATTTAGTTGCAGCTGTTCATGGATACCAGGTTGTGAAAGGGAGAGAGTGGTTGTTTATGCTCCATAGTTGGAGTCTTTAAAGTGATAAATGCCTCATGAATAATGCCATGCAGTCAATCCTTAATTATGTCCCCCCTCTATTCTGAACATCTACTAAAATTGTAATACACACAGTAGCTTTGCTGAACTAGGTCTGTGCCTTAAAACCTCCTTAGTGGTGTATGTGATCCTTTTGTCTTGCTACCCACAGTGGCTACTCTTATAGGATTTTGAACATGAGGGAGTGAAAAATTCTCTCAGGGAGGGCACAATCCAAAGCTCACTGCAAACAATGGGCAGGAGATTGAGCCTTATACAGAATTAGGCTCTATGGGTCAGGGACTATCTTTTACTTGTTGTTTCTTTGCTTGTCCAAAATCTTGACAGATAAAAGGAGATGCAACAAAGTCGGCCCATAAGTGATGCCTAGAAATGGTATGGGAGAAGAGCCCAATGTGCAAGTGGCAAACATTCCCACAGTGGCTACAGGTTCACTCACCAGATGGAGATTGAAGTATACTCTGCTTCCTAGCTAGCCTGCAAGTTCAGCCTGGGCTCTCTAATGATTCTCTGTGGTGACTGCACCTGCCTTAGCCTGGCTTCTCCAAACTGAAGAATTGTGGGCAGAATTTTCCTAGTTGTCAGTGGGAATGCTGAACTTCTTGAGACTTTGCTTGACCTTGTTGCTGTATCAGAGCTTTGGCATTCCTCTGCCTCGTGAGTGGTTCTTAAGCTGGCCATAGAGCACAGCCTTCAGCAGGTGATCTTGAGGCATGTGGTCCATATAGCCCAATCAACGAAACCTGCAAATATCCACCATAGTCCACATAGTAAGCTGGTTCTCTCAAGGAACTCATTATTGGTGATCCATTGGTCCCAAGGAATTCCAAGGATTTTTCTAAGACAGCGGAGGTGGGAAAATGTTCAATTGCTGCTCCTGCTTGGTGTAGGTAACCCATCTTTCAACACCGTAAAGGAGGGTACTAAGGACACAAGCCTGATAAACAGACATCTTTGTGTTGAGAGTTAGCAACCTGTTGTTCCAAACACGTGAGGTAAGTTTGCCAACGGTAACAGAATGTTTGCCGAGTCTAGCATCAAGTTCCCTATTGAGGTTAAATGAGCTGGTAAGAATTGAGCCGAGATAGCAGAAGTGATCGACATTATCCAGAGTTTCATTACTGACAGATTTTAAATGGAATGTTGGTACCTTGTGACATGACAACTGTTTTCTTGATACTGATTATCATGCCAAACTTGGTGCATGCTTCAGAGAACTTGTTCATCATGACCAGCAATTCATCAGGTGAATTTGAGACTAATCTGCAAAAAGCAGATCCTGAATAGTGAGCTGGGTGGCATGCCTTCTGCTCTGCAATTGTCTGATGTTAAACAACCTGCCATCCATCCTCAATTCAATTAGTATGCCAGATTGATCACTTCCAAAAAGGTGTACTTAAGAAAAATAGAGAAGATGCCAAAGCTGGTGGATGCTAAAATGCAGCCTTGCTTCTTACCAGTATCAATACTAAACTTGGATGTTTCATTTTTATACTGGATTGTTGCCTTCATTCCCTCATCAAACTCCTTGAATAGGGACAGCACCTTTTATGGAAAACCAGTTTTCAACAGGATCTTATAAATGCCATTCCTGCTAAGGCCATTTGTAGGTGAATGAATGATAGATAGTGAGTTCCTGTTATTCACAGCCTTTTACTTGCAACAAATGCAATTTGAAGGACGTGTCAGTAGCAGAGCATCCAGCTCTGAACCCTTTATTTTTATATAGGGTAATTATCTTTGAATCTTTCAGATCCTGGGGTATGTGGCTTTCTTGTCAACAGGTGCAGAGAAGTGCATAGATGTCACTCACAAGCTTCCTCCCCCCCACCTTTAGGAGCTCCAGAGGTATCTGATCGTTGCCTGCTGCTTTCCCAGGTGCAATCTCTTTGATATCTTTTTCTACATCTTCAGGAGTTTGGTCCAGCTCCTGCATCGGTGGAACCTGGGGAATGGTAACTAAGGCAGTATCATAGAAAATGGCATCCTTTGAATAGAATTGTTTGTAATGCTCAGTCCATCGGTCAAGTTGTTCTTCCTCTCAGTCAATATGGTACCATCTTTCATTTTCAGGTTTGCAGACCTTTTTATAAAGGTGGATGAAGTGCCTCTTTAATTC